AGACATCGAACAAACACTTTGGCATTATTAAATTAGATATTAATGTCTACATAGAACAAATTTTGTTCCACCAACTGGCATTTTTGAGCAATCGATCAATGACTTTGAGATATCTGCAGCGCAAAGTGATTATACGGCTGATCTGTATCCTAGATCTAGGTGTGTAAGTGACTCACTGATCAGCAAAATGCTAGAATATCAAATGATATTGACTTCATGTTCACTTCAATGTGCCAACAGCACACTTCAGGGGTGTAACCGGTATCAAAAACGCGATACCAGTACCGGTCACCGGTATACGAACTTCGTGCCGGTATACCGGTGACCGGTCTACCGATCGGTACCGGCTTGTCTTGATTATGTTTTGCCTAAATACAAATACTTTTTCCTTGTCACATATGTGAAGAAGTCTGTTAACACTCACTGAAAAAAACCGATTACTCTTCTTTTGACCAATTACTTATGTTATCAAAGAGATAGATTAATCTCTTCACTTTGATGATGTATAGCTGATTTTCCCACGTACTTTTTTAACAAAAACAGCAATCCAATTCATTTTTTAAATTAAGAAGGTTATATAACCGAACTAAGTTTACGTAATTGGAATGAAATTCCAGTAGGAAATCCAAATATCGCAGATGAGCTGAATTTACACGATTTTTTTGGAAAAATCGCATCATACCGTAAAATACCATCAATATCAACCAACTGAGTATACCTCATACTAACACCGGTATACTGGTCGGCGTTATAAGTCATACCGGTACCAGTTGCACCTCTGGCACACTTTATTTTTTACAGTGTATGTGCCACCCAAACAAGTCATCAAAAATCCTTGTCCTAAAGTTCTAGCGCACTTATTCATAAATGATTGATGTATATCCTCTTATCAATGCATTCACAAATTCAAGATTTACAACTTTGAATTATTGTTTTTAATTTGTGTGATTCAAAGTGGTGAACATAGTCAAAGACACTTTATTTTTGATTTTTTGCTGGACTACAATAGACACAAGAAATTCAAAAAGTGATTTCATGTACCTAACAGAGTTTTCAATCGGAAGCGATGTAAGTGAAAATGAATGGTGTGTATGAATTTCTTCAGTATGGCTGAAAACCAGATTTCTGGAAAGCTAAATCGTAAAAAATCAAGTCCTTCCATTCGATCCGAGAGTTTTTCTAAAACGACTTAGACTTACACAACAAAACATTTGTCGAAAAAAATAGCACGTCTCTGAGCTCGCCACGACGTGTTTTCATCGAACTGCATTCAATTCACGAACGTCTCCTGCCGATCTTTGTTGGTACATATATGTTGATGTTGCTTATTTTGACGCTTCAAGGAAAGATGACTACGAGCTACCACTATCAATTGATATCATAAAAACTTACCGACAAAAATCCGTATTTTTAGCGTGGACTAGCGGGAGCCAAGTTTGAATTTTGATTGTTGATATATTAGCGAAGACTACAGTTCCGAAGTATTTATATTTTATCCAAAAGTACAAAAGATAAGAAACATAGTATTGTATAATAATGGTTTATTGTCATGCCTTATCAGTCTTTTTAATTTTTTTCGAAATAAAGTTAATAAGTGAAAAGTACGAATATGTAAATGCTTGTGAAATACGTTGCTCAATCGTTAAATTTTTTAATTCAGCATAATTTGCTGTCGATGAACGTTTTTGAAATTCAAGGGCAATTAATTCGGCTGCTTTTGCATTTGCTCTTTCTTTTGTTTCTTGTATTGATGCTTTTAACATTTCATCACGTTTTTGTCGTTCAAGTTCATTTTGTCGACGTTGACGTGCTTTTTCTTCATTTATTTGTCGATAATAATCTTCACGCTCTTCTTCGCTCATCATTTTTAACATTTCTTGCTCCTCCACACGAATTTGTTCATCAATTAAACGTTGTTCTTCTCCTAAGCCTAAAAAAGAAGGGCATTATGACAAAACAATACCGGACCGATAGATAGATACGCGTTACCCATGGTACTTTGAACTCCTTGTCTTTTCAAACGTTCAACTTTTCTCTCATACACAGCTTTGATACGTTTAGCACGATCAGTAAATAATTGTTTCCGTTGTGCTTGATATTCTGCATCTGTCATTTCGCCACGACGTTCGTCAAGCTGACGTAAATGTTTTTCCCTACAATTCAGAATGTTAAAGAGTGCAAGAAAATTTGATTTGCGGTGAAGGATTAGGCTGTAAATTTGTGCAAAAATATGTCAGACGTGGTTGAACTTAGTGCTTAGTATTTTTCAAAATCAATAGAACGTACCAATCGGCGGCACTGAAAATGAACAAACAGTTTTAATCTTTGAATAATTCGTGTATTGAATGAATTTTGAGTAGTTTAAACGTCGGCAGTCACTGAGTCAAAAGAGATTTTTAGTTAAAAGTATTAAAATGGTTACATTTACCCCATATCCTCATTCATCTCGTCCTGATTGTCTGAGTATTGATCGTCAATATTATCGTCACCATTTTCGACTCGTCTTTTCCGCCCTAGTTCTAATTGTCGTTTCATTTCGGCTACTTTTCGTTTTTTCTCGGCAAGCAACTGTTCTTTTCGTTTTCGCTGTTCATAAACACTCAATCCGTCCAGCTCTTTTTCCTATAATTTTGATATACACATCTATTATTTCTAATAAATAATGATTGATAAAAAACTTACATCATCAGAAGTCCACTCGATTTCATATTCTTTACCAGAAGCACTTTTAATTTTCATCGGACGACTTTTACGAAGGTCTTTTGTTTCATTTCGTTGTTCTAATGGTGAAGGTGTTGATTCACCGAACTCATCAGGGGAACTCGTTATACCCTTTATGATAAGAAAAACACAATAAATACAATTAGTTATTTCTTCGAAAAACATACCGGTTTCTGTTTTGTTCGTTTAGATATGCCCGTTGTAAATACATCTGCCTCATCGTCGCGATCTCCTGCTAAAGACTAAAAACTTCGACAGGTTCAAGCATCAAATGACAAAATTTACCTAGTTTAAATGTAGTAGTTGATTGACTTGGACGTTTTCCTTTGCTCTATCAAGAGGTAAAAGCATGCTATGTATAATGAATATCTCAATTGTTTTTTGAACGTATAGTGCAATACGTTAAATCGTGTACAAAAACAATTGTATTTACAATTCAAAACTAACCTTTGCTTCCTGCACTGAAAACAGAACATTAGAGAGTATTTACCAATTAATAGATAATTTTAACTTATGGATCGTACATACTTTCTTTACGAGCTACAACTTCCTCATTTGAAAGTGTTTCTTTCACTTGTAAAATTTGTTTACCGGTTGTTGGATCTTGTACGAGTTCATACACTTTTCCATCTTTACTTATCATGGGTTTCATACGAAAAGATTTTTTGCCAGTTTTTTCATCGACAACAGCTTCAAATTCAACATTTTCAAGTCCATAACTTTCTAACAAATCATCACGTAATTTATATTGTTCTTCCCCAGTTATCGGATCCCAATAGACAGTAAATGAATCAGCGTCCAAATCAATTTTCGCCGTTACCACTAAAAGAAATATGACTATACACATTTAGTCATTGGAATTTCTCAGTTAATTACCTTCTTCAACTAAAACTGGTGTTTGCTGAACAACTCGAATTATTTGCTCGCCTGTCGTAGGATCGATAATGATTTCTACTTTTTTTCCATGAGCTGCAAATTGAACGATAAACAGTTTTTCATTTCTTTATTTTGTTAGTATTATCAACCTGCAGTAGTTCTGACTTTCATCGTCGACTGACCAGTGATGGGATCGATTTCTACATCAAATTCCATGTCTTGCAAGTTTGTTAGGCCTATAAACGAGAATTCAAAATGAAAGTTTGTTCAACTTATTTTAAAGGACTCACCTTTCAATTTAGCTGCTTCATCTGTTAAACGATAATATTCTTTTCCAGTTGTAGGATCGATTACTTTTTCAAAGTCCTTAGTGCTAATAGCTTTTTCAATTGGTGGAGCTAACGGAGTACAAGTAACATCATTTTTAAAACGAAATATCTGCTGTCATGAGTTAGACCTTACGTGTACGGCCTTTCGGACGTTTTAAACGAATTTTTTGCAGTCCAGTTTTCGCATCCACAAACAGTTCAAACTTTTGATCATCTATTAAAAAAATTATATGCTAAAAGGTAAAACAGTTGTTTAAACGCAGTTCGTACTCGATTTGCCCGTTTGTGCACCGCCTTTCATTCTTATCTGTTCCACTCCAGTTGTCGGGTCCACATATACTTCAAACTCAACATCTTGTAAGTCGGTTAGGCCTTTACGAGCGGCTGCTTCAGCAGTTAATTTTAAAACTTTTTCACCCGTGACTTCGTCAATAACAGTCACAAAATCATCAATTGCAAGATCATTTTCTACTGTTTCAACTACAAAAAGTTTATGTTATTACCTCGAAGCATTTCGATTTTTGTATTACATACATTTAACCTCCACCGTCTCTTTCATTCTTAACGTTTGCTGACCAGTCGTTGGATCTATGACCATCTCATACGTCACATTTCCTACGTACATCATATACTCATTGTAAACAAAATTCATACATTTTTTTTGTTTAGCTAAATACCTCCTTTTGTTTTAGTTGATCCTTTTTTAATTTTTACAGTTTCTTTTCCTGTCTCGGCATCTATGATCACTTCGAAATCAATCTGATCCATATCGACAAAGCCTTTACGTCTCGCAACTTCTTTTTTCATTCGAAGTACTTTTTTTCCTGTTTTAGCGTCTATCACTTCTTCAAAATCATTTCGACTGACATCACTGTCCGTAACTTGAACTAAACAAATAGATAACGAAAGAAACTTATTGTCAGAATCAATTCTGAATTACATACTTTGTTTCGGAATCTCTTGTACCATTTTTAAGACTTGTTTACCCGTGGCATCTGTTTCAATAGTAAATTTGATATCTGAAGGAAAAGAAAAGTATTTCATTAGTGGAAGAAGGCTACTACAGACTAATTACCTTCTTGACCAGGAATTCCATTGCCTTTCACTCGAATAGCTTCTTTTCCTGTTTTAGAATCGATATATGTTTCAAATTCAGCATCTAATAATCCCATCATTCCAGACCGTTTAGCGACATCCGCTTTCAGTTTTAATACTGTCTTTCCAGTTGCATCAGTAACAACATCAAAATCACTTATATCAATAGCTTTTTCGGTTACTTCAAGGTCAGCTACATAGCCAAGAAAAATTGAATAATATTAGAGTAAACGTTATAATAAACATCAAGCACACTTACGCGATGGTGGTCGCTCTTTTTTTAATTTGATGGTAGTTTTTCCGCTTGCATCAGTGACAAGTTCAAACTGTGCATCGCCTACAGAAGATAAAAATAATACATAAAAGTGTTCACACATTTGATTTCAAAAAGATGATCGGTACGCACCCGATGCACCCTGACTTGCGCCCCCTTTCACAATAATTTTTTGTTGTTGAGTTTTTTCATCGAAAACCATTTCAAATTCCACATCTAATAAATCTGTTAATCCTTTCCTAGCAGCAGCACCTTTTTTTAATTTCAGCACAACTTCCCCGGTGGTTTCGTCTACTATTCGTTCAAAATCATCTTGATTTAGCTGACTTTCAATAATATCTGTATTTTCAACTAAAAGTATATGCAAAAAGTTAGTCTGTTAGTACAGAGTAATATGAGTAATAATGCTTACGCTCTAAATCAATAGTTCGTTTGATAATTTTTTGTTTTCCCGTAACTATGTCTATAACAATTTCGATTTTACCACCTAGAGAATAAAATCTTATTTTAAAAAGAAGTACTCATGACTCATTCATTTTATTTACTTTGATCATCATCTTTAACGCGAATCGACTGTTTGCCAGTTTTTTCATCAACAAAAAGCTCAAAATTTGTGTCTTCTAAACCAGTCAAACCCTTCTTCAGTGCGACATCCGCTTTCATTCGCAGTACCGTTTCACCGTTTGCATCTGTTATCATCTCAAAATCATCCATCGTGATTTCCGATTCAACTACAGAAGCTAAACAATTCAAAAAATCTTTATGCAGAACTAGTTACGGTATTAATAAATAGATTCGTATGTAGTATAACTTACACGCTTTCTCAACCTCTTTCTTCATAATGAGAATTTGTTTTCCATTTTCATCAATCATAAATTCAACTAAACAAAACAAAACTTCAGTTCAATACCTAAAATTTTCATAGTGAGCACCGAACCATAAACATTTGTTACCAAAGCTAAACTGTTTTATTTTTTCATTGTATTTTTTCTACGCTGATTTCTGTGAACTAGTGGCTCTACTTAGAGATGCGTAAAAAGTTCAAAAACCAGTGGAAATTCAGAAAGCTTCATAAAGATCGTCAGTGAGTTATATGGATCAGAGAACAAGTCCCGTTAGGAGCTCGATAATCAATTACTTATAGTCCATAAATTCCAGCTTCAAAAAGCGTTCCTATTACAAGACTTTTGAATTTTTACCTGCATTTTTTTTTGTTCAATAGAATTTAAAATTTTTTTGGATTCATTTCAAAAGTTTTTTCCAACAGTTCCTGGCAGTTCCAATTCTTACAGTTAAAAACTGGAACTGGTGCATACCTAATATCAACGACCACAATAGTAGTATGTGCACACTGACTGCTTAGAACAGTCGTCAAGCCTGTCTTTACAGCATCTCCAATTTTATTGATCATTCTCAGTAAATAGATAACATATATATCTTATCATCGCGCAATAGATTTAGTTTATGATGAAATTATATTAAAAATAGAGATGATTATTCTAAATGATTATCCAAATAAACCTCAAAAAGTCAGGTTTTTAACAATTATGTTTCATCCAAATATTTCTCCATTGTCAGGCACGAGGCTTCATGATTGAGACCACTTTTTTTTTTATGATTATTAATTAGATTTAAAAAGTGGTCTCAATTTGGAAATGAAAATTTTATGGAATAAATGTGTTTTGATCACCAAAAAAGTGACTTTTGATCACCAAATTTATTAGCAGTGAAATGATCACCAAAAAATAAGACTTTTGATCACCAAATCAATTAAAGAAGTTTTAATTAAAGA